CTTGATCCCAATTTGAGACAATTTGAAAGGCCATCCACCTTTGGTGCTCCCAAAGTCCCAGCTGAGGCCTGCATTGAGACTGAATCTCAGCTCAACTTCTCTCCCTGCCCAATCTTGCTCTCTTCCCTTCTTTTCCTGTTCTACCCCTTCCGTTCTACCCTTCTCTTCTCATTCTTTCCCCTTCCTTTTCCTTCCGTTTCCTTAGGATCAACAAGGAAACACCTGTTATATAGAACAAGCATCGATCTGAGTATTCCCCAATAAAACCTCCTACATACTAATTTCCATTTCAGCATTTACCTCCCAGGGAATCCAACCTGTAAGTGCCCCTTGAGAAAAACTACACCTGGAGGATTAGATATGTGCCCCTGTCCCAGCAGCCACGGGGAGGAAGAGGTGGCAGAAACTAGCATGCCCAGTTTGTCCTTTCCAAATTTACAAATCACAGGTCATTTCACCTTCCTGAGATAGAATGGTTAAGTATGTGGAGATATACCAAGTTACACTGCCAGTGCTCTTCAATAAAATGAAACATTGAGATAACATCCAGTGATATTAAGGAGCTAGATTCACTAGGAATTAATATATTGGATATAGTTGAGGAAAAATAGGGCCAGTCAAAATTGCTGATGGGTCTTAGGTAACTGAGTAGGTGGTAGTGTCATTTACTGAGATAAAAGAAAAAAACAAGCCTGGAGGGATCTATGAGTTTCATTTGCAATGCCTTTGGGATGTCTAAGAAACTTGTTCACTAGGCAATTAAAGATACACATCTGGAGTTCAGGAACATGGCCACCAGAGAACTGATGAATGTGTATACATACCTATCAGCACATACACCCAGTCGTGACTAGTATCCATAAGCGACTGACAGGTATAATTTAGGGAACAGAAGTCAGTTTAAAAAAAAAAGCCAACAAACTCTAATTAGTATTTTCAGAGATTTGAGGGTATTACTTACCTAAAACAAGACAAAGATGTATGAGAAAAGAATTATCCAGAAATAACAGAAATCTTGGGAATGAGAATACGAATGGCAAAATTAAGAATTTCACTGGAAGGATTAGAAAATAGAGTTGAGGCTGAGTACACTGGCTCACACCTGTAAAATCCAGCACTTTGGGCGGACGAGGTGGGTGGATCACCTGAGGTCAGGAGTTCGTGACCAGCCTGACCAATATGGTGAAACCGTGTCTCTACTAAAAATAGAAAAATTAGCCAGACATGGTGGCGTGTGCCTGTATTCCCAGCTACTCAGGAGGCTGAGACAGGAGAATTACTTGAACCCGGGAGGCAGAGGTTGCAGTGAGCCAGGATCACGCCACTGCACTCCAGCCTGGGCGACAGAGCGGGATTCCATCTCAAAAAAAAAAGAAAAATAGAGTTGAAAATATTCCAGAAAGATGAATATGAATAAAAGGAGACAGTCGTGGGAATGAAAAAAAAATCCAATGGTCAACGAATAGTGTCTTTAATATAGATCTTTTCCTGGTTCCTTTTTTGTTCATTAATTCTTGGATGAGTTTCTGAACCAGTTTTTAGTAGGAAATCTATAGGAAGAGAGGCCAGGGGTTTGTGTTGGAAGCTGAAGAAAGGACCCAGCAGAGGAAAAGTAAGGTGGAGAGGTAAAGAGAATAACACATGGAGGACCCTTCCTGAGAATACTAAGGAGAGTGTATCCAAAACTTGGGTGCAGGTACAGCTCACCAGTAAATGGGAGGAGCACCCTTTTCTTTGTGCAGGATGGAAAAAAATATGTGCAGATGCAGAGAACCTTCTAGGTGGCATGATTGAAATCCAGGTTTCCAATGGCTTCTATTTTGTCTATGAAGTATAGGACACTTCTATAGTGAATGTCAATGTGGTGGTTAGGGTGGCATATAAGCATGGAACTTCCAGAATATGAGATTTTTAAAATAGCCTAAATGAAGGGTGAAAGGTGGAGGGAGAAAAGCTACTTGGGAAATAAATGATTGCCAGACTACTCTGAGGGCCAGGTCAGCTGGAGGCACATAGCAGTGAATGGTTGAGAGTAGATTTTGATAATCAGAGCCAAAGTGAGGACTCACTACAACAGAGGAGACAAGCTGGTTTCAGAAAGAAAAGGCATCTAAGCTCTTCTCCAGAAGGAAGCTTGTATAGTAAGAAAATGAAAAACGTCCTTCTATGAGTCATCATTCTCATTTCCTCCAGCTCCTGGGCCTGTATTTTCCTTTGATGTTTACAAGGGACATGTGATTACATAAGGAAGGGTAAAAGTATAATAAACCAGGGTTGTAAGAGAAGGAACAACAGAAGGAAGAGACTTGAAACCCAGCTGGGAACGAAGACAGGGAAAGGGCTTTGTGAATTGTCTTCTTGGTTTTGTGAGCGTGAGACAGAGCAACTCCATCTTGTATAGGAGCTGGGTAAAAATGAGGCTGAGACCTACTGGGCTGCATTCCCAGACAGTTAAGGCATATTCTAAGTCACAGAATAAGATAGAAGGTCGGCACAAGATACAGGGTCGCAAAGACCTTTCTGATAAAACAGTTGCAGTAAGGAAGCCGGCTAAAACCCACAAAAACCAAAGCCCGTCAAGAGTGACCTCAGCTGTCCTTACTACTACCTCCCACTAAACGTGACAGTTTACAGTGGCAATGTCAGGAGATTACCCTATATGACCTAAAAAGAGGAGGCATGGATAAATCATCCTTGTTTAGCATAATCCGTCCCTTGTTTAGCATATCACTTAAAGTGGGCAACCAGCAGCCCTCGGGGCTGCTCTGTCCATGGGTAGCCATTCTTTTATTCCTCTACTTTCTTAATAAACTTGCTTTTGCTCTGCACTGTGGACTTGCCCTGAATTCTTTCTTGCGCAAGATCTGAGAACCCTCTCCTGGGGTCTGGATCAGGACCACTTTCCTGTAACAGTTTGGTCCCCAGGCACAGAAATTCTGGGAATCAGACCTTGGTTGTCTTTATTGCTCCCTCTTCAGCGTATAGAACAGAGCCTGGCACACCTAGGTGCAAAATAAATATTTGGTGCATGAAAGAAGTCCACAGTGCAGTCACTGGCTTTTTTAGATGGTTAGCTCACTAGAATCTCATTTTTTTTCCTCCTCCTCCTTTACAAAAAGTTTTCAGACAGACTTTGGACCTGCTGGAGCATTTTCAAAGACAAATAGTCCTGCTGCTGCTTCAGAGGACCCGCCGCCTCCCCAATCAGAACTGTGTCTCTCTCTGTTCTTGTGGGAAAGGGGGACACAGCTTGCTTTGCAAGAAACTTGCATAGGAAATGGTGCAATCTGGGCTGTTTTTCATCTTCTTTCAACCTAATTTCCTAAGTTAAAGTAAAGAGAAATTTAAGGAATCTTGGGAATGAAGCTTCTCTGGAATTAGTCTTTGTTAGGCTGTGTTTGGAGATCAGCTGAAATCCTGAAGGGCTGTCAAGCCAGCCAAAAATTAAAAAAATAAAAATAACTTAAACAATCCTAGCCAAAATCTGAAAATGATATCTGGAAATAGCTACTATTTTCTTTCCCAGAATGGTTTGCCTTTCCCCCAGTTTGTAATTGTTATAGGATTGTTTTAGGTTATTGGAGTAGAAAAAGAAAGAAGGAATCGAGTGTTTTGGAAGTAGTATGATGCGGTTAGTTCTACCCTTTAAGTTTGGTAATTTATACAGCTATTTGTACACATGTGAGCTCCCTCTCATTGGGATGCTGCAGCCCAGTGCAGGAAGTTTTTATTCATAGCATTCTCCTTAGGAGTTTGTTTATAGCATTTGGTCTTCCTCCATACCTTCCCTCCCCACCCCCCACCCCGAATCAATCTATATTTGCTTAATTTATGGATGATCTCTCAGGGGGCTTCATCTGTGGGGTAAAGGCTATTTTATCTGCACCCTATATTTACTGAAAAGGGTGCAAGAAAAACGGTATCTAATCGGCCAGATGGGTAGGAACCCCAACTTTGCTGCACTAAAAATTTTCAACAATGGTATCCCTAGCTTGCCCTTTTGCTCGGAATAGTGCACAAAGTCAGCAAGCATTTCCCCTGAAGTCTCCACCTCCCACCACGGCCAAGACTGGCTTAGCTGCCATTCCCAGAACACTGAGAAGATTGAGGGAGGCAACTTATAGAATACTTTGCTTGAATCCTCGTTTGCATCCCATTTTGAGGTAACTGCCCCACAACTAGGCTAGATAGAGAAGAACTGAAACTGGTTGCCACTTGGTCAGTCTGGGTGGATGTTGAGCCTAGAATAAAGCACAGAATATATCAGCACCTGAGGCTGGCCAGGGCATGCTCATGAATCACTGGCTTCACCGGGAGTACAGCCAGTCTGGAATGTAGTGCAGGGGCCCAGATGCCTGACACTGAGCAGTAATAACTTAGAAGGGAAGGTCTTTTCTAAGCATAGTGAAACTTCAAGGGATCTTCAAGAAAATCACATAAGATGAATAAAAACTTTTCTTCATCCTCCTCCTTCAACCCTATTTCAGGTTCTTCCTTGCAGAAAACACTGATTTCAAGTTGGAGTGTCTTTTCAGCTTTTTAGATGTTTATGTATCTGCGTGATCTATCTGTATACATACATCTGCATCTATACATGTGTATATGTATCTATCTATCTATATCTATACACAGACAGAGAGAGAACCAGTGAGGGAATTTTGCTTTGTTTGTTTTTTTTTTTGACTGAAATGGTATCACACAGTGTGGATTGTTCTTCAACTTTGCTTTTTTTTTTTTTGAATTTAGCCATATCTCTCAGAGTTTTCTGTCAGTACATTTAGTTTTTCTGGCCATATCTCTCAGAGGTTTTTCTGTCAGTACATTTTAGTTTTTTTCAACTGCTGCATGCTTTTACATAAGTCAGATGCATCACTAAGTGCCAGTCTTTTGATGATCATTTAGGTTGCTATGCTATGAGTTTTTACCACTATAAATAGTGCTATAGTGAAATAACCTTGTACCTGTTTCCTTTTTGCACATGTGCAAATATCTCTCTACAGTGGATACCAAGGTGTGAGATTACTGAGTCAAACGATAGGCGCATCCAAAGTGCGAAGGACTACTGTCCAATGTGTTCTCCAAAAAGGTTGGCCAGTTTATATTCCCAGGAATATGGTAAGAGAATGTCTGTTTTTCCAGATGCTTGCCAATACATCAGTCTTTCTTACTTATTGTCAATCCAATGTATGAAAAATAGTGTCCCCTTCTTTTTATTTGTGTTTCCCCCCAAAACCAGTAAGACTGAGCATCTTTTCAGATGCTCATTTGCCATTCATGTTTCTTCTTTGGGGAATTGCTTATTTATGTTCTTTACCCATTTTCTTTTCTTTTCTTTTTTTTTTTTTTTTTTTTTTTTTTTTTTGAGACAGAGTCTCGCTCTGTTGCCCAGGCTGGAGTGCAGTGGTGCAATCTCGGCTCACTGCAAGCTCCGCCTCCCAGGTTCACGCCATTCTCCTGGCTCAGCCTCCTGAGTAACTGGGACTACAGGCGCCCACCACCATGCCCAGCTAATTTTTTTTGTATTTTTAGTAGAGACGGGGTTTCACCGTGTTAGCCAGGATGGTTTCGATCTCCTGATTTCATGATCTACCCGCCCTGGCCACCCAAAATGCTGGGATTACAGGCGTGAGCCACCGCGCCCAGCCCTTTGCCCATTTTTCAATTTTATTTGTCTTTTTTCTGGGGACATATAAAGGCAAGTCCTTTGCTACATTCATTACAGTTCTTTCACCCAGTCTCTCCTTGGGATTTGAATCTCATTTTGTTGAACAGATGTAAAGTTTTGATATAGTAAAATTTATTAATCCTTTTCTTTATGACTTTGGCATTTTTTGTATTGTTTCAGGAGGCCTTTTCTACCCTCAGGTCATAAACATGGTCTCACTGCAATTCTGGAAAATAGAAAATTTTTAAACAAAGCATTTTTATAGTGGTCTAAGCCCCCATCATCTTTTTGTCTGAATTATCGCAATAGCTTCCTAACTAGTCTCCCTGCTTCCTTCATCACTTCCTTATAGTCTGTTCTCAACACAACAGCCAGGGTGATTCTTACAAAACAGTCAAATCATGCCATTTCTCTGAATCAAATCCTCCGATAGCTTTTCATGTCACTTCAAATAAAAGCCAAAGTTATGACAATGGTACCACGTGCATCCTCTGCATGCCATGACCTTTTTACCTCATTACCTACTACTCTTTTCCAGTTCTTGACACGTACTAGGTTCTCAATAAATAATGGTAGCATTCATAAATAAATTTTATCCCCATTCATTTCAGGGAAAAAGTACTGAAAATGTTGGTATTGATATGGGGAAGCTCCCATACACTGCTGGTAGGAGTGTAAATTTGTACAAACCTTTACAATTTGTAAATACTTGAGGATGAGCAGATCCTTCCCCTAGGCAATGCTCCTTCTAAGTATACACTCTAGAGAGGTAATTTTACGTGTGCACAAAGAGACTGTGGGAAAATACTTATTACAGCCTTGCTTTTAATGGTAGATGGGGGGAGGGAAACAAAATGAATGAATGAAGAAATGGTCAGAGGATAATTTATCCTAATAAAATATATACAAAATTTACTAACTCATGAATGAATGTTTACTTTTGTAGAATGTCTTTTTAAAAAAATTCCATTGAGGGTTTTTTTGTGTGTGGTTTTCTATATGTAGTCAATATTGTGAACAAATTTATAGATATTTTCTGATGTCAAAACATTCTTATATTCTTGGGGTAAATTCTATTTGGTTATGATGTATTTTCATTTTTTAAAATACATTCTTGAATATAAGTGACTAGTATTTTATTTAGAATTTATCTTTTTCTAAAGTTTCTAATTAGAGATATAGGGTCTTTCATTTTTTCTTTCTTTTCTTTTCTGTTTCTTTTTTAAATTTTTTTTTTAAGTGAAAGCAGTTTGTTAAGAAAGTAAGGAAAAAAAGGATGACTCTGTCTCAAAAAAAAAGTTGTATTTGCAGATTTTACTTGAATTCTTTATGTTACCTTTTCTCTTCTAATATTTTTGTGCCTTCTCTTTTCTTTTTGATCAGCCTTAATAGAAGTGTGTCAATTTTGTTAGTTTTTCAAAGTACAGTGGTACCTTGGTATTTGTGGGGGGGTTCCAGGACACCCTTGCATACCAAACTCCAAGGATGCTCAAGTCCTTGATGTAAAATGCCATCCTATTTTCATATAGCCTACACAATTCTCCTGTATGCTTCAAATTATCTCTAGGTTACATAAAATACCTAATATGATATAAATGCTATGTAAATAGTTGTTATGCTGTATTGTTTTTATTTGCATATTTATTGTTGTATTGTTACTTTTTATTTTTCAGAATATTTTCTGTCCACAATTGGTTGAATCTGTGGATGTGGAAACTGCAGATACAGATGAAGAGCCGACTATACTAGCTTTTTGTTTCCTTTTTCACTTCTGGGGTGTGTGTGTGTGGGTGTGTGTGTATGGGTGTGTGTGTGTGTTTTATTAATCTCTTTGCCTGCATATTAGTTTCTTCCTCTTTATTTGGATTTTCACTAACATTCTTTTCAGCTTCTTCAGTTGGATACTTGTTGCCAATATACTTTTTTCATTATTAGAATTAAATAAATGGGCCAGGCGTGGTGGCTCATGCCTGTAATCCCATCACTTTGGGAGGCCGAGGTGGGTGGATCACAAGGTTAGGTGTTCAAGACCAACTTGGCCAAAGCTGGTGAAACTCCATCTCTACTAAAAATACAAAAATTAGCTGGGCATGGTGGTGAACGTCTATAATCCCAGATACTCAGGAAGCTGAGGCAGGAGGATCACTTGAGCCCAGTAAGTGGAGGTTGCGGTAAGCCAAGATTGCGCCATTGCACCCCAGCCTGGGCAACAGAGCGAGACTCCATCTCAAAAAAAAAAAAAAAAAGAAGAAATGAATGTATTACTCACCAAACCGCTCTTCACCAGAAACTCTTAGCAGTGGTATGTTGAGGTCTCCCTGTCTACCGTATATGTCTCTTAACTCTGTGTGTGCATATATTTTGTCATGGGTCTGTTTAGCAATATTGTACTATTTCCCAATTTTCTAAGTATGTTCATTTCAGAGTTTATCCCATTCTTTGTTCTTTCTTTCTTTTAAAAATTTCTATGACTGAGCTGGACACGGTGGCTCAAGCCTGTAATCCTAGCACTTTGGGAGGCTGAGGCGGGTGGATCGCCTGAGGACAGCAGTTCCACACCAGTCTGGCCAACACAGTGAAACCCTGTCTCTACTGAAAATACAAAAAATTAGCTGGACATGGTGGCAGGTGCCTGTAATTCCAGCTACTAGGGAGGCTGAGGCAGGAGAATCTTGAATCTAGGAAGTGGAGGTTGCAGTGAGCCGAGATCATGCCATTGCACTCCATCCTGGGCAACAAGAGTGAAACTCCATCTCAAAAAAAAAAAAACAAACAGACAACTTTTCTATGACTGTATTTTTAATTCTCAGGATTTTAATTTGTTATTCTTCATAATTATTCATAGTTATTTTATTTCTGACTGTTCGTGCTTCATAATTTTTATGTTATTCCTCTGCTTAATTCCTTTGAAAGTCTTGAACAAATTCTTTTTAAAGAAGTAATTTTCAGATATTCTAGTATTTTCTTTTTACCTGATGTGAATTCTTCTCCATGTTGTGGTTTCTGTTTTCGGCAGGTTTTCTTATTTCTCTCCCTCTTTCCTTTTCTACCTTCCTTCTTCCGTTCCTTCATTCCTTCGTGTCCCCCTACGCTTAACCTTCCTGGTCTCGTAGTTTTGCCGTTACCTACTTTCTGGGCCTCCCAGGCCTAGACCTCGGTTTTATCCTACAGTATTGTAGATCCAGTTCCTTCTCTAGGGTCAAATTCCGGCTTTAAGACTATGTCTGGTTCTTCCATCTCCCTAGGTATACAGATGTGTACAAGCTTGTGGCCCTAGTTCCTTTCAAGGGGGTAGCCTTCTCCCAGCCCTTGGTTTTATGTGAGTCTTCTGCCTCACATGGGTTATTTAGTTCTTAGTACCCTATATGAGTCTTGCCCCTGGATGCCTCCGTTTGCTTTTGGCAGAATTGAGCTGGTCTACATCTTCAGGCTACTTATCATATTGTTTCTGTTCCATTTCTGGGCTATGGAGATGTTTTTAAGTGTGAAATGTCTTACATTTCTCCCATTTTATATTTAATCTATTATCACTATCATTTTGGATTGGCGTCGTCCTCAAAGCCCCATCTTCACTAGAAGTTAACTCGCATTTGCTTCTCTGCTGTTCGTAATCTAGCGTCCTCTCTCACCTTTCTCTTGGCAGTTGCCCTCTCTGAAGTCACCGCTGTTGTTTCCCAGTCACCGAACTAAACCATTTTTCCTTCAGCCCCCATTTTCCTTCACTCCTCTGCAGCATCCAGCAGTGTTGACTGCTCTTCCTTTTACCTCTCTCCTGTTGGCTGCTGGGATGCTCTGCTGTCCCGGATCACTACCTCTTCTGATGCTTCCAGTTTTTAAACTGCTTTCCCTTTTTCTTCCCCTTTTGTAACTGTGGATGTCCCACAAAGCCAAGTCCTTGGTGCAAAAATAATTTTGCTTTTTCTCATCTTCAGTCATTGCTGAGTCCCTGTCTGTTCACCAGGGCCTCCCCCTCCCCTGAGTTCTAAGCTACAGATCTGCTTGTGACACATTCCACTTGATGCCCTGCTGTCCCATCAAATTTCCTCCCCTTTGACCCTCCCAAATGCCATCACAGATATCATTTTTTTTAGATAGAGTCTTGCTGTGTTGCCCAGGCTGGAGTACAGTGGTGTGATCTTGGCTCACTGCAAGCTCCACCTCCTGGGTTCAAGTGATTCTCCTGCTTCAGCCTCCCGAGTAGCTGGGATTACAGGCATGCACCTCCACACCAGGCTAATTTTTGTATTTTTTGTGGAGATGGGGTTTCACCATGTTGGCCAAGCTGGTCTCAAACTCCTGACCTCAAGTGATCCTCCCACCTCAGCCTCCCAAAGTGCCGTGATTACAGACATGAGCCACCATACCCAGACTTTATATATATCATCTTTCCCTTAGTTTCTAAGGCTCAAAGTCGTACCCTTCCTTGATTCCTCATATTTTCTCCAGAGTCAGTTAATTATACATCCTATCAATCCTCTTTCCTGTAATTTCCTCTTTTTGCCATTGCATGGCTCACACACCTGCTATGATCCCTTATTATTTCTTCTTTTGGAGCATTTTAGTATTCTTCCAGAGAAGCAGGACCGTTAAATGTGGCAATATTTTGACTCATTTGTTTTCAAAATTTGTGATTTGGATTCTTCCCACATCCCCTGCCCCAATAACAAAACTTACCTTATAAACAGTCACAGCTTTTTTTGCTGCCCACTCTCTGATACTAAGGAGGAAGAATTCTTTGATGAATGAGCAAAGTTTCAAGACTTTGTGTGTTCTGGGTAATGGGTATACTCCAGAAGAGCTAAATGGATTTACGTTAGAAGAGCAAGAAACTGTTCAAAAGCAAAGAATTTAATAGAGCTGAAACCTAAAGGATGAGTAGGGACTCTCAGGGCAACCCAGAGAAGGATGGAGTTGTATTCCAGAGAGAGGGGTGGTCTGGTTTGGATCTGTGTCCCCACCAAATCTCGTGTCAAATTGTAATCTCCAGTGTTGGTGGTGGGGCCTGGCAGGAAGTGACAAGATCATGGGGACGGATTTCTCATGAATGGTTTAGCACTATCCTGTTGGTGCTGTTCTCATGATAGTGAGTTCTTGCAAGATCTGGTTGTTTCAAAGTACGTGGCACTTCCCCCCTTTCCTCTCTCTCTTGCCCTCACTCTAGCCATGTGAGATGGCTGCTTCCTCTTCGCCTTCCACCATAATTGTAAGTTTCCTGAGGCCTCCCCAGTAACCAAGCAAATAACAGCATCATGCTTCCTGTACAGCACGAGGAACTGTGAGCTAGTTAAACCTCTTTTGTTTTTAAATTACCCTGTCTCAGGTATTTCTTTATAGCAGTGTGAGAATGGACAATACAAGGGGGAAGCACAAGCAAAGACAGAAGGAAAATACAACAGGGTGCCTGTGAGTGTGTGTGTGCATTTGTGTGTGTATGTGGTGGGGTCTACAAAGAGTCACTGTGAGCCAGGGAGTGGGCAGTGCTGAGAATGGACAGAAAAGATTCATGTGCCAAGTTGAGAAATATAATTTGGGGAGTCACAGAACTATTGTTAAGTGAGAGGTGAGATCGCATGGCCACATTAGTTGCCACGTTTCTAGCTTTGGATGGCATATTTCACCAAGCAGGACTCAATGGGGAGGAAGCAGTGGTATGGGTTGAGGGTTCTGATGAGACTGCGACTGCTACTCTTTCCTGCTTCATTAGTGTTGTTTGTGACACCCAGAAGAGCTGAAGGGGGCATCTTTGTGGGGATGGAGTAGAAGGGCAGCCCTCAGAAAGGGGGTTCCTGGGATAGTCAGAATGTGTTTACCAGGAAGGGAGGCAGAATTAAGGAGCTGGCAACATAGCTGGGAAGTTGACTGCATGGGTTGTCATATCTAAAAGAGATTTCAAAGATGGAAACAGTAGCATGGGCGAAGTTGAGATCTCAGCCCCCTCATTTTACTGTTCCCCTACTTGTGAAATTCCTTTTAGTTCTTCAGGGCCCATCTGAAATGCCAGCTTCTCTCTGAAGGTTTGCCTTTAGACCCTGGCTGGAAGATATCTCTTTCTCTTTGGAAACTCTATAATTTGTAGTTTGCAAGTATTTTATGGTTTTGAATTTCCCCTTATGTGTAAGATCCCTGAAGATTGTTTTGCTTATCTTTGTATCTTCTCCACCAGCTGAGACTCTCTGTTCTGTGTAGGATCTCTACTGAAGAAATCATAATGGAACTGAATCTGCACTTTCGCAGGGAAAGTACGTGCTACAGGATTTAATAAATATGAATCTTAATGAAATAGCTCAAGGAATTTGAATATTTCAAAGCTCTATCCATATAAAGCCTGAATAATTCATGCAAATATTTGAAGGAAAGAACAAAAGCTTGTCTAATAATTCAGTACACTGCTCTTTATTTTGGTCCATAAAAGGAGATCTTGTGCTTAGTTTTGGTGGTAAACTCAGCTTTAGCAGCTTTGAAATGCAGATTAGATCAATTACATCACAATTATATTTGAAAATTGAAAAACAGCATTATCCAAAAGTCAAATTCCAAATTTATGCCTTTTCATAGGAAGTGTCATTTGGAAAGAAACTGATTCACACCATGAAATATGTGGCATTTCTTTTGGTTTCCACTCTTCTATAGTAGTAGAAGGCTCATGTGATATGCAGACATGTGCTTAATCAAATTTAGCTTTACTTTTCAAGTTAAGAAAATGTATATGAGGTATTTCTGGGATAAAAAGAGGCACACTCTTTTTTTGTTTTTGTTTTTGTTTTTTTAGCACAAATATCTCCTATGCTGCTGCATTTGTCTTAATTCCTTATTTGAAAATTTGGCTTTGTTTATATAATGTACAAATTCCTATTCACTTAAAACAGTACCAGAATAGCCTGGAACCCTGTAGAGCTAAATGATATTTTAGAGTGCTAATCCTCATTTTCTTTTTGGTAAAGAACACAACATCATTATTTGTATTTATCTTGTCGTA